AAAAAAACAGTTGGGAGTCAAGAACCATGTCTTGAACCTGGTTCTGGAGAAACAGGTTCTGCCTCATGCTGGTAGCGATGGCAGCACATTGCCCAGTGTTTCTGGAGGGCAAGTTGGCAATGTGCTCTGTGTAAGAAGTCTGGAGAACATGTCTCCGCTGCCGTACGTACACGAGAGAAGCTTGGCGCCTTAAACTCACCCTGGTTACACCTCAGTTATACCTCAGACCGGAAACCAAACCAAACCAACTCAGTCACGTTCTAGAAACTGTCTCCCACCTTGATTTTTCCTCTCCTTCTGTCTTGGACATCTTCCTGTGTCAGCTGTATGTGCTGTCCTGTTGTACAATATGCAGTGTGGCCATTTCAAACCATACTACATTGAACACCTGTGCATATTAGGTAATTTTTTAAAGATTTTATTTATTTGGTGCCTGGGTGGCTCAGTCGTTAAGCGACTGCCTTCGGCTCAGGTCATGATCCCAGGGGTCTGGGATCGAGCCCCGCATCGGGCTCCCTGCTCGGCGGGAAGCCTGCTTCTCCCTCTCCCACTCCCTCTGCTTGTGTTCCCTCTCCCGCTATATCTCTCTCTGTCAAATAAATAAATAAAATCTTAAAAAAAAAAGATTTTATTTATTTGTTAGAGAGCGCATGGGTGCATGCACGCACAAGCAGGGGGAGTGGCAGGCAGAGGAAGATGCAGGCTCCCCGATTAGCAAGGAGCCTGATGTGGGACTAGATCCCAGGACCCTGGGATCACGACCTGAACTGAAGGCAAACACTTAACTGACCGAGTCACCGAGGCATCCCTAGATAAATATTTTTGACGTGGAGAGATGTTTGTGGTTTAAGAGAAGAGTTGGATTATAAGATCATAAGGACACTTAAAAAATTTATGTGTATATCTATTTGCGGATAACACATAAGAATATGGGTATATTTTTGCATGTGTGTGTGTATGTGTGCGTATACATATATAATAAGCGTATTGCTCTTTTTTTTTTTTAAAGATTTTGTTTATTTGACAGAGACACAGCGAGAGAGGGAACACAAGCAGGGAGAGTGGGAGGGGGAGAAGCAGGCTCCCCGCTGAGCAGGGAGCCCGACGCGGGGCTCGATCCCAGGACCCTGGGATCATGACCTGAGCCAAAGGCAGACGCTTAATGACTGAGCCACCCAGGCGCCCCAGTGTATTGCTCTTTAAAAACTAAACTTCTAAAAATAAAATGTTATTTTTTTAAAAAACACAGAAAAAATGCCTTTTGGGATACTGGAGCACACTCTGCAGTAGGGTGCTGATGGAATTTCCCAAACCTCCACCCTGAGTAACAGAACTCTCCCCTCTTCCCTCTTGACAGGAGGTTGTGCCCAGACATATCTTTCTTCCAGAGAGCCACCGAGTACCCCTGCCTCCTTATCCTGGACCCCCAGAATGAGTTTGAGACCCTTCGGAAGCGGGTGGAACAGACAACACTGAAATCCCAGACAGTGGCCCGGAACCGGAGTGGGGTCACAAATGTGAGAGCCAACCTGGGGGCCCCAGGGACTCCCCGCGACAGCCTTTTCCTCCATGCTTCCCGTGGAGCCCTGGCCACTGGCCGTCAGGCCTGGGACCATCTGCCCTGGAAGTTACCCACAGCAACTTTGGGTAACATGGTTCTGCCATTTCCGCCTCTGGGACTCTTTCTGCAAGTCAGGTGTCAAAAGCTGGGTGTAAGGGGTGCTGGGGGAGGGCCCTGCTGTGTGGTGAAGGAGCAGCAGAGGAGATGGCTCTTGAAAAAGTAATTACACATTGATGGGAAAGTGTGGTGGGAGCAGTGATGGTGGTGGGGAGCTGATTGGGCCTGGGTGTCCAGGAAGACTTCCCTGAGGAGGTGACGTTTAAGCCGAGCGTCCAAGAACTAGGAGGAAAGCTCATTCCGGGCGGAGAGGAGGGTATAGCGGAGGCTTCAGGCAGGAGAGAGCGTGGTGCGCTCAGGGAATAGTGGGGTCCAGCCTGGCTAGGGGCGGGGCTCTTGGAGGATGCTGGCAAGATCAGTGGTGGTGAGGCTGCCTAGGGCCTTTGTCCTGAGGGCTGGGAGCCTTGCAGCATTCTAGGCAGGCCAGTAACATGATTCGAGTCTGCCTTCGTAAAGAATTGCTGTGGTCCCTATGGGGCTGTTGATCGGGGAGTAGAATGGAGGTTGGGAGGCAGCTGCCTTGTCCAGGCAAAGGCAGGTGAAGGCCAGGGTAGAATGGGGGGTGGGGGTAGAGCTGAGGGACTT